ATGGGTCGATCGACCGATCGATCCATGCCTTTCGGCTTCGCCCCAATTCACTGCCGAGGCTGGCCCTCGAAGAAATCGAGTTCTTGTTACGGCGCCGTCCCGTCGATGTGAGTGCGGGGTGCGGCAAAATATTATATAGAGGGCCGACGCTGTACGACGTCAGATGTCCACAATATTCTATAGAGGGCCGACGCTGTTAACATCACGACGTCAGATGTCCGCTGCAGTATTCTATAGAGGGCCGACGCTGCAATGCGACGTCAGATGTCCGCCGCAGTATTCTCCTCCCCTGCTCATCTAGATCTCAAGCATGATGTGTGCATGTTGCACGTCGGACGCACACACGCACACACTCACACACTCAGGCACACAGGCACATACATTCGCACACTCAGGCACACACGCACGCACGATCGCCGAGTACCCTGTTGACATGCGAGCCTGGATCCAAGTGGGAAAACCGAGTGGACTCGGTTTCGAGCATTTGTTCTTGCCACCTTTCCTCCTCACTCGGCCTCGACCCCAGTGACTTCTCCAGGGACCCCCGCGACAGCCTCCCCTCGGCCTCCCCCCCTCCCCTCATCCGCCTCCGCCGTTGGCACCTCCGTCGGGGCGCGCTCCGCCCCACCATCGGCCGCGAGCCGATGTACGTCGCGATCGTTGGAAATATCCCCTCTGCATGCTCACGCCTCCTCTCGCTCACGCGTGGCTCTCAGAGTGGACGTGCATGAGTGTACAGTGATCTACGACGACTAGCTAGATGCGGTTGAAATGGCGATCCATTGCCACGTACAGTAGGCATGCATTTATGTAGGCATGTATGAATGTATACATGTATGTATGTATGAATGCATGCATGCATGCATGCATGCATGCATGCATGCATGTATGTATGTGTGTATATGTATGTATGTATGTATGTATGCATGCATGCATGCATGCATGCATGCATGCATGTATGTATGTATGTATGTACTTATGCATGCATGTATGTATGTATGTGCGGATGTGTTTGTATGTGTGTATGTATGTACGCGTGTACGTGTAGTATATATGTCAATGTATGTAGGTATGCATGCATGTGTGCACATGATATACGAAAATATTACATGTATGTATCCTCTCTCCGTTCCTGAGCGTTAGGATATTCAACAACTAGTTGAAACCTAATGTTTCAGCAGCTTGGAGCTGCCTGACTTTAAGCAGGACTCGCGCGGGCCACACCGTGCTGCTGAGTACTATTGCGCATGCGATCGAGAAATAACGGACCGCTTCGAGCATTCCAATCCCCTGTGCACGCCGTTCGGTGGCGATATGTGCTGCTATAACTATATTTGTGTACACATGTTCCTTCTCCCTATATATATATATATATATATATATATATATATATATATTTCTATATATATATATAGCGACCGAGTGGTCGATCCCCTCCTTGACGCGGAGATTTGCACATAACCTCCGCGTAATCCCTGCCCTATATTGCGGGCACACAGGATAATGGCGTGGACGCCATTATGCACGGCGCGCGGCGCGCTCGGAGATGAAATGGCCCGCCCGCGCGTCCCTCCGCTGTCTACACCCGTAACAACTGCTGGACGACGGTCAATTGCTAGCTTATATTAACTACATTCGAATGTGTATTGCCCGATTTCGACTTAGTCGTCAAATCCCGACTTGTTGATGTCTTGATTTTTTTTTAAAATCTTGATTTTTTACTAATTTGAAACAAAAAAACAATGCATATCCAGGCGGCTCAATTAAATTGAGACCGCAGGAGGTCTGGGGCTCTTGATTCCCGACGGCGCCCTCGCGCGTCGGGAGCTGCGCCTGCTGCACGCGCTTGCAGTGCATGCAAGGGGGTGGCCGGCTCGGAATCACCGGGCCTGCAACTTCTTCCGCTTCCAAGTAAAGCTCCCAACCTACCGTAAGCAGCTCCCTGACGGGCCCCCCGGCGAGTGTCCAGGTCTTGAGGATCTCTCCGAAGGCCCGGCCCCGCAGGTTGGCTCCCTGGCTGGTGGCGTTCGGCGGCTGGATGACCCTCATGTGGCCTCTGTGGATCATGGCGTGGACCTCCTTCTCGCTGGCCTGAGCAGGCAGGGCGGAGTCTATCTCGAGCCGGTTCCAGTGGTTCATTCTCCAGACCCTGACGGTGGTCTTGCTGAGGGCCTTCTGCGGGAAGACGGCGACGCACCTGAAGTCCTCGTCGCGATGAGGGTGCTGGACGTCGTGGCAGTGCATCCGGAGCTCTACCTCGCGCGGGGGGACGAAGGGTGGTGCATCTCCCAGCGCGGCAGAGGCGGTTGTTGCACCGTCCCAGAGCTCTCGGCGGAGCTGAGCAGAAAAGGCCTTAACGGCCGGCGCATCAGGCCCCTTGTCTCCCCACGGCAGCGCTGCCGCAAGGTGGAGAACTAGGCGCTGCCTTAGCTCCGCGTCACCTCCCTTGAGGCCCAGCCGGGTGCGCATCTCCTCGTCGGGGTGGAGCTCATCCTGGAAGTCGAGGTACTCCCACTCCTGGACGTGCACGGTGAGCTTTCCGCGTCCTACTTGCCCTCGCTGAGCGGGGTTGCGGGGTCATGATTGGGGGGGGGGGGGGTCAACGTATGTTGACACCCCCCGCACCCGCTAACAGCGAGGGGGGCGAGGAGGAGGACCTGGGGGGGGGGGGCAGGACAAGGGGGAGGGGGATCAGGAGGAGGAAAAAGAAGATGGACGATGATGATGATGATGATGACGATGACGATGACGATGGCGATCCTGCTGATGATGGTGGCGACGATGATGGTGACGATGACGACGATGATGATGATGGTGAGATTGATGATGATGATGATGATGATGATGACGACTACCAGGATGATTACTATATCTATGATTGTACGAACTACCACGAATTCCCATTACAAGCTTCGCCCCATAGGGCCCCACCCTATATGGGCCCGCCCAATAGATTCCCAGAGGCCCCCGCCCCATAGGGTCCCGCCTGATCGGGTTCCGCCCCATAGGGTCCCACATCGTAGGGCCCCGCCTTATGCAGTGCCCTGCGGGAACCCAGAGATCCTTATTCCGAAGGGGCAGACGGAGCGGGCGGAGCCTGAGATATTTTGGGAGACCAACGGGAATCGGCAGCTCCCCGTCATTGTAATCACCATCATCGTCGTGGTCGTCGTCGTTATCATCTGCATCGCAGCCGATGTTAATCATCGCACCGCCATCGTCACCATCGTTATCGTCATCACCATTGTCATCACCATCACATCATCATCATGATTGTCATCGAGGTCATCAAGATCATCATGATCCGCATCATAATCAGCATCATGATCCTCGTCGCCATCATCATCAGCATCATCATCGTCATAAGCATCATCATCATGATCATAAACGTCATCGTCATCGTCATCGCCATCGTCATAATCGTCATCGTCGTCATGTTTATCGTCAGCGTCTTCATCATACCCATTTTCATCGCACTCGTCATCTTCGTCGTACGCGGCGTCACCGCGATGGGCCCCAGCGGGCCCTAGGGGGGGCACTTTCGGAGAGTCGCCGGTTCCCGTCGGTCTCTGAAGGCTCAAACAATCCCCGACGACGCGTTTGCTGCGCCCGCCTCCGACGAAAGGAGCTCCCGCAGCGCGGGGCGTCATCGCTGTCACAGACGAGAGGCGCCCTGAGAGCCTAAGAAACCCTAGATGCGTGAGAGGCTCGGCACTGCTCAATCCGAAGCAATGTCAGACAGGGGGGCATCCTGCGCATCGTCGCCGTCGCGAACCGCCTGGATACCGAGAGCCCCCTGGATGGCATCGTTGTTGTCGGTTCTGAGCGTTTTCTCGAAGGCCCCCCCAATCTGCGTCAAACCAGTCCGCAACTTCTTCACCCTCTGGCGCAAACTGGCGCTGTGGACCGCGAGCGCCTTATATTTCTGGATCTGCTCCAGGAAAGGAGCCTTCAGCGAATCGAGCGAGCGCGCGCGAATGCCATGGCGCGCCGCCGCTGGCCTCCGCTTGGGAGCCATGGACCCGAGCAATTCAGTGTCGGAGGCCTTCGGGATGGCAACAACACCTCGCGCCTAAACGGCGAGGACGGAGGAGGGCGGAGGAGGAGGAGGAGGAGGATGGCGAGGACGAGGAGGAGGACGAGGTCGTTGTAGTTTGCCCCCATCCGCTTTCTCGCCCTCCTCCTCCTCCTCCTCACCCCCCTCCCCCCCCACCCTTCGGGGGGAGACGAGAGCGCGGTTTTTGCCGACTTCAGCGGGGGCGGCCAGCTCTCACGGCGCATCCAGCCACGGCCTCGACAGCAGTGAAGGAGGAGGAGGACGAGGAGAAGGAGGAGTAGGAGGAGGGGCGAGGACCCCAAGTCGAGGACCGAGGATCGAGGGATCAGAGGAGGACAGCTCTCCGCGAGCCGAGCACATTCTTTGACTTAGTCGTCGTCGTCGCGGTGCCCACCACGACATTCAAACGCATGTCCGAGCGACGCGTTCCAGGGGCAGCTTCACTCAGGCGGAGGGTGGAGTTCAGTTGCATTTAGTTCAGTAACCAGTCGAAGGGGGATACGGAGGGCGAGCAAGAGGTGAAAAAGACGCCCCTGTGGTGGACCCCCTCCGCGGCAGTTCTTCGCCACGGCCCTGGAAGCAAAAATGTGGGCGCCGTGAACCGAGCCGATCCAAGGCTCATAGCAGCTCTACCGTGTTCCTCGTCTTCCGTTGTCCTCCTCTTCCTCATCGCGCCCCTCCTCTTCCTCAGTTTCCTGCTGCTGCTGCTCCTCCCCCTCCTCCTCCTGTTTCCCCCCCCCTCATTATCCGAATCCTCCCCCGCCTCCTCTTTCTCCTCCTCCTCCTCCTCATCATCATCATCATCGGCATCATCATCATCACCATCGTCAGCACCATCATCAGCATCGTCACCATCATCATCTAACGCTGCTTCGGCCCGGGAGGCCAAACTAAGAGACGCGCGCGCACCACTGCAAGCAGACGCAACCATCCACATTCAAGGTCAGTCCTTGCCACCCTCACCGTCGTCGCCCGAGAGGTCCCAGTTGCTGCCATCCGCCTCCTCATCGCCATCAGGCTCGGGCTCCTCGCCGTCTTTGTCAACGACCTTGCCCTTGCCCTTGAGCTTCTTCTTGGGCGGCTGCTTGTCGCCGCTCTGCTCGACCTCAGCACCCTTGCCCGTGCCCTTAAACTTGCGCTTGGCCTTCTTGGGCTCATGGGTGACCTCCTTCTTCGTCTCGCCCATGGCCTCCGCAGACTTCGCATTGTAGAGCAAGCTCTCAGGGTCGCGCGCCATGGCGAGCGCGACGAGCTTCAACCGCCCTTCGATGCCAGGGGCGTGCTTCTGGGACATGGCGATGCCGAACAAGCCTGTCCGCCTCCTCAGCGCCGCCTCCGCGAAGTTCCCAGGCCCTGGCGCCAGGTCGACGACCGTGCGCCCGAAGAACCTGCGCAGCACCTCCAGGTAGAACAGGACGGGGAACGTACACCCAAACACGGGCTCGATGTCTGTGTCGCTGCGCTTCTCGGGGGCATCGAGGCCAGCTGCTTTGCCTCCCACTGGAATCCGATTCTTTTTCGTGTAGATCTCACGCTTGTTCTTGGCGCTTGTGCGCCATTCTTTTTCTGGCGTTGGTAGTGTCACTGGGCCGATGACCGTGCCCTTGTCGGAGCCGTCGTAGTGCTTCCCAGCCCGCTCGGGGAGCGCGAGGTTGCCCACTGTCAGCACGTGCATGTCCTCCACCTGCTGGAGGCCCGCTGGCCCCCGCGAGAGTTTGCGATTTGCCTTCAACGTCTCCTCGCTCGCAATGACGTGAACGACGTGGTGCTTCAGCGTCATCCTGTTCAGCTCCTTCTCTCCATCCCCGTCGAGGTCGTCGTCGGCCTCGTCGCCCTCGGGGAGCTTCTCTTCTGGCGCCACCGCAGCCACGGGAGGCGCCCGCGGCTTCTTCAACGGCTTCGCGCTGCCCAGGCGGCCGCCGTCCACGACAAGGACCACGCCCCCACCGCCGAGCGTAGGCTGATCTCCGACGCCACGAAAGCGCCCCTCCAGCACCGCGGATACCTGAGTGTTGTAGCTCTTCTCCTGGAACGGGGCCTTCCTGATCCTCGGGGCCGTCGCCGCTTCGCCAGCCAGCTTCGTGTCGAAGTGTAAGAGGGCCAACCCCGTCATGTCCCCCGCTGTGGTCGCCAGGTCGGAGCTCTTGATCTCCGAGACAAGCGTTTTTGGATCATCTGGCATCACCGCGATTCTCACGTACTGCCCGGGTTCATTATCTTCCTCATCCTGCCTCCTCCTCCCCCTCCTCCCTCCTCCTCCTCGTCGGTAGGTTCTCCCTCTTCCTCCCCCTCCTGGTCGTGGTCGTGGTCGTCGTCGTGGTCGTCCGCAGTGCCTCGCGGCCTTGCTCGCCACGGACAGCCAGTTGTCTCTCTCCTCCGAGTTCAACTCCTGCACCTTCTTCGCCAGCTTGTCGGTCTCGCCGTTCTCCTCGAAGTGGATGATCTCGTCGACCTTCCACTGCTGCTTGGAGGGGGTGCTCGCGAAGCTGCCGTCGTCCTTCGGGAGCTCGATGCCAAGGCTGTCCTGGGCTGCCTCTTTTTCCACACAGTCGATGATGGTATCCAAATCTTCTTTGGCCAGCTGGCAGCCCAGGAAGTCGGGTGCACCTTTCGAATACTTCACAGCCGTCTTCAGGGAAGCGTCGTGGCTATCCCCGTAGATGACGGCCTCCGCAAAGTCACAAAACTTGCGGGCGCTCCCGGGCAGTGTGGCTTGCCACGAGATCTCAACTTGCTTCTGGTCGGGGTAGGCCGCCAGGCACCTGCGCGCCGAGTCATGGCCATGGAGAACCTCGCGCAACCTGCGCTTGGCATCTGCCGTGAACGCATGCTTCTCCAGGAAGATGTGCAACCGATAATCCCGAACCTCCATCTTCAACATCGCCACGTCGCCATGCAACCTGTTGATCTTAGTGGCCGTGATTTCGCCGGCCTCCAGGTAGCGCATCTTGATGGAATCTGCAATCGATTTGAACGTCCACTGGATGCCTTGCGCAGTCTTCCCGCGGTTGATGACGGCCTGGAGCTTGTGCACCGAGTTGAGGGGCCCCGAGCTGCCAAAGGAATCATCAAGCTCTTGCAATATCTGGCCGACGACTGGATCGGCCAAGACTCGACTCTCCACCGTCAGGGCGGCGTCGATGAAGCTTGGGCTAAAGGTCTCGCCCCTCGATGAAAGCAGCACCGATGTCAAGAAATGCTGGGACAGTTTGGGCGCCGACGCCTCTCTGTTAGTCTTCACTTCGAGGGCGTGCTTCTCCCTGATGACCATCTGCGCCCCCTGGAGGACCGTCCACGCCGCGCGCCCCCCCCCCCCCCGCCTCCTGAAAGTCCTCGCGCTGCTGGAACGAGGACAACGACTCGAGATTCTCTGGAACGAACATGAAGCTAATCGAGACGTCACGAAAGATGTTGGACCACCGCCGCACGAGCTCATCATCGCACGACGGGTCGGCCAGGTCCCTGTCGCATGCCATGTAGGCTGCATGCACGTACTCCATGGGGCTGACACATTTCATGCCCCCTTTGTGCTCCATCGGCATGTACTCTGCGTCGTTCGCGCTCGCCACGAGGCCAATCGGAAAATGGCGCGGGTCCTTCGGCGGGAAGTTCCGATCAGCGATCGCCTGCACTGTGGACCTGTTGATCTGCACTCCTGGAGTCGCTGTCCACATCGGGTTCAACCATTGAAGCACACCACCGCTAGTATAGAACGGCTTGGCGTCCTTCACAGTCTCCGCGGTCACGGGCGTGGTGGCGGCCCTCTCGAGGCCTGGCTTGAACAGATTATGGTCGAAGGGCGCCTCAGTAGGAATGGTTCGATTCCACCGATCATGATCTGTCTCAGTGCTCATCTCAAAACTTACTACTCATCATCCTCCACCTCCTCATGTTCTCATGGGTCGTCATCGTCCTCTCATCGTTATCTGCCTTCTCCCTCCCTCCGCATCCCCCTCTTACTCCTCCCCTAGCTCGGTGGGTCTTGGGACTTTGTTAGCGATCACGGCCGATCAGAGGTTAAGGGTCGGGGTGCGAGGTGCAAGTGGGCCCCCCGCCATAAGCTGTTAAGCAGGGCGCCAGTCTACCGCCCTGCTCCACGGTCAAGGGCAAGGTGGCGCCTGCAAGTTGGTTCAAGATCGGGTTAGCGGCAACGTTGCTGAACCACTGCTGGACATCGGCAAGGTAGCTGGCGTTCACATTCGCAATCGACGCGGGCAGCGACGACGGCACAGAAACACCGGCCCCAGCGGCCCTCGATTTCGCCTTACCCTTGGGCTGTCTGGCTTTGGGCGCCATCTGGGTCCGTCGGTGACCGAGTCGAAGCGTGGGTGTGCTGGGCGGGGCTCGAACAAAAAGAAGCTAATTACAGCTTTGATGTTGATGCTAGCGTTTTTAGTGTTTTTGATGGTGTTGGTGTTGATGTGCTCTGTTATCAAGTTATTTTGCCACATGGGCAAGTGTTGTCGGAGCGCATCTTCGAACCAACCCTGCACTAAGTTAAGTTCAGAGTCGGGAGCTGGGAGGACAGTTAGTCCAAAAGCCACACGCACACCGACTGAAATCGGAGGGGGGGGAGGAGGAGGAGGAGGAGGATGAGGAGGAGGAGGAGGAGGAGGAGAAGGAGGAGGAGGAGGAGGAGGAGGAGGACGACGACTACGAAAAAAACCGTCGACGGATTTTCCCAAACGACGACGACGACGACGACGACCCGCCTCACGGCGGCTCACATGCCAGCAATGGCACGACGACGACGACGACGATTGCCCGAATAAAAACTCCACAACAACCGAAACTTTCAGAGGAGAAGGAGCGCCATGATCCAGGAGGAGGATACTTTCACTCACTCGCAAGGGGCAGCCCCATCACGCCCCGCAGTCTATCCTCCGTCGCTCACCCCATCGGGTGAGGTTACACCAAAGGTCGAATTACACGCATCGACCTTTGAGAAGACGGGGGTGGGGACCCCCGTCTTCTCACAGCTCGGTGACGTCACCGGGCTTTGAGCCAGAGGGGGTAAACGTGATCCAGGGGTCTGGGGGGGGCTGGGAGGGCGTTTACCCCCTCTGTCTCAAAGGTCGGCGTCTCGTACCCCCTCTGGCTCAAAGCTCGGTGACGTACCGGGCTTTGAGAAGACGGGGGTCCCCACCCCCGTCTTCTCAAAGGTCGTTGGGCATTTCGGACGCTGAGCCCGACCCGATCCCACGGGCTGCCCTCAAATCAAACAACAGACTAACTACCGCACGCGGGGCCCGAAGTGCGAGGCCGCGTGGTCCACCTTCAGCAGTTTCTCGAATAGCTCGGGGCCCGTGAACGCCCCCTTGTCGCCGCGAAGCTTGGCCTGGGGTGGCCACGTCTCACTGTGATTCTCACCCCTCGCCTTCTTTCCCTCCGTCCTGAGAAACTCATCCTCGCCATTTTCCTCCTCCTCCTCCTACTCCTCTCCGCCTCCTCCTCCTCCTCCTCCTCCTCCTCCTCCTCCTCGTCATCATCCCGCCCTCCGTCCCTCCATCCATATCGTTTTTAACCCCACCCCTCATTGTCATCATCTTTATCATTGATCCTTAGTCTCTTCTCCCCCCTCGAATGGGAGTAGGAGGAGGAGGAGGGAAAGGAAAGGAGGAGGAGGATATTTCAGGGGAGGGGGTGTTGTTTGATAAAGTCCCGCCATGGGTCCTCGGCGTCCCTCTCGCTCTTGGTAACCAGCCCAATCACAGATATGCCAGTGTTCTTGATGCGCCTGCGTTCAGCTGAATATGAATCCAAATCATCGATCACAGAGAACTTGCACCCACTGAAATCAACAAGTGCTAGCCTGAATATGTTTGCGATGTGCTCGTGGTGTGCTTTGAACCCGTCAGAGATAAAGAGCTTCCTGCGCTGGGCCAGCGCAGCATGATACTTGATACATATGGGAATACCGTTCCCAGTCAGTACCGCATGGTTGATCACGTGCCCACCGCGAAGAAACGCTGCCCACACATAAGGCGCCCTAACAGGTCGGGCACCAGGATCAGCAACAACAAATACAGAAGCCCTCCACGGATGCAACGTACGAGTCAATGACCATGAGGGGAACGATGCCGCAGATGCATCCGAGTCTGTCCATGCAGCGCTGTACCTCAAGGCAGCTTTCGTCGGTAGGTCCCCACCCAAGCAAACCTCCAAGTTCCTGATGGCAGTTTTATCCCTCTTGATGACCCCGTCTGCAAGTTTTGCTACGCTCTCCTCTGCGAGCTTGCGGGTCTCCGCTGTGCCATGTAGAACTCCTTCGGACACAGCTTGCACCTCCCTCTTGGCCAACTTTTGTTTAGCAAACTGCATCTCCTTCTCGTGGCGGTCAGTCCAGCATGATGACACGTCCATGTCGTCGAGTCTCTTCAACGCTTTCTGAAGCCCACCTGTCTCCATCGCGCCGTCTAAGGACCGACGGCGGGTTCTGATGAAGTGAGCCTCGCCTGACTCGGTGAGGACCTTCTTGGCGTGCCCTTTGTCCACCCTGGGGTCGCGTGCACCCTTCCCCGATGCCCTGGGAACGCCAAAACCAAAGCGAACCCATGCGTGCTGAGCTATGCGGCATAGCTCATCTGGGTCGTCTCGCTTGGCGTCGATCTTTACCTTCAAGTAGTTGAGCTCAAGCTGGGGATCAGCATTCTGACGATCCGACACGGCGACTTGTCCAACAGTAAACCCTTGCTCGACCCCCGAGGTGGATGCACAAAAAGACAACCAGCGTTCAACCACGAGTCGCAGCGATGAACATGGGTAGGAGTCCTGGACCTCTGCACGCTTGGTCTTCATGCGGTTCACGACCTGCACCCATGCAGCCTTGCTCGTGCATGCCTTATTCTGCATCTCGAGAACGGCTGCGTCTCGGTGCCTGATAAACTCACTATGGAACTCGCCGAACTTCACGCCGCATGCCTTGGCCAAGCACTTGCACTGGGTGGTCACGTCTATCTCGCGATTGGCTCTCGCACCCCTGAGCGGCATCACATTGAACACCTCGAAAGCTCTTGCCACTTCGAAGTCAGGGAACTCAGCCATTATCTCTGCATGAGCCAGTCGCATCCATGCCCGCATGTGGCTTAAGCAATCAGCAATGTCAGCACCGCTGGGGGCAGCCAGCGTAAACGGTCTCCCGCTTAACACCCACACGAATGGCTCTTGTAGCATAGAAAGTACAGTCTTCGCATACCCAACCACGTTAAGACACTGCCGTTTCTCACCAAAAAGAGCTTCGCACCGAACTAGAAATAATTCTATCTGTGAGCTCATGCCCGCCACGTCCATTGCCTCTGAGTCGCAAAATCTGGTCAGTATGATGGCCTCGTCGGCCGCGTCTGCCATCATGCCTGTCATGAGCAGGTGCTTCGGGGAAGCCGCGATCCACTCCAAGAGCTCCTTGGCGCGCTTCCCTTGGAAATCTGACCGCGAGACCGCAACGCGGACGAGGGGCTTCAAAATCGACGGGAAGAGGCGGACGGTCCGACCCAATGGTTTCTGGAAGCTTTCGAATCTATGTTGGCAGCCCTCAAGTTGCCTGCCTCTCTGCATCGAGGATCCTTCTCTCTCATGATGGTGCGAAGTTCGCTTCGGAGGTCCTCGCTATGCTGGATCATCTGCGCTGGGGGCGACCTGCCCATGGCGACGCGGGACGCCACCTCGAACAGGAATGGCCCGCCTTCCACGGGCGGCTCAGCAGCCTGACAACGGCAAACAAAAAGGAGGAGGAGGAGGAAGCGAAGGCGAGATCCACATCATCCCCCCCTCCGCCTCCCCCTATCGCCCTCATAACTCACCCTAAGTTTAGCTCCTTATCCCTCCTCCGCCTTTTCCCCACTTTTCTTACCACTCTTCCCTCTCCTATAATGGGATATCGCTATCATTCTTACCAGCTGTACTGATATCGCAACGTATCGTTATCTCAACCTTAGTCTTGCCCACTGTTCTCTCTCGTGCAAGCACTCTTAGCAGTCATCACACTATGCTTCGAGTTATTTGTAAGGTGTTGGTATTTCCACTATTGTTCAAAACCCTACTCGCACTCTTACCTCCATTCTCACGCGAACCCTGACGCATGTATCCACGCCATGTCGACTACCCCGTTCTATTACTCCCACTCCTGCTCTTATCGCCTCCTCCTCGATCTCCTCCTCCTCCTCCTCCTCCTCCTCCTCCTTCTCCTCGCCCTTATCCTCCTCCTCCTCCTCCTCCTCCGACCCTGCTTATTGTCCTCGACGTCGTCGTCGTCGTCGTCGTCGCAGTCGTCGTCGTCGCGTGGAAAACACCGTCTGCGTTTCTTTCCCACGCGACGACGACGACGACGACGACGACGACGTCGTCGTCGTCTCTTACGCTTGCGCTTGCTGGTTCTCTTAGAACGTAGTTGAGGTCTCTAGAGGGAGACGCTGCTGGTTTTCAATCGCTGGTACCGTGAGTTAAACCCCAACTGTTGCTGACTAGCAAGGCCTGCCACGCACGCCCTGCACTGCATTCACTCCCTAAGACAGCCATGGAACCGACCGGTCACTACGCAGTAGCGAGGTGGGTTTGGGAACTCACCATGGGCTCGGCTTTGCTCTGGACTCCGCTGCGTACCATCAGTCGCTCCTGGTCTCCACTTGGTAACGGACGCTGTAGATCACACGCGTGCTGTCGACAGGCGCATGCGAAGCCAGCAGCTGACGGAACACGATGCCGATCGTCGGCGGCATGTCGCTGAGGTTCTTGTAGACGTTTGTCGTAGCCACCGCCCCGCGGGAGGTGGACGTCGAGCCCACCGCTTCCTCGAGCAGCCTGGCCTCCTTCTGCCTGCGCTCCTCGCGCGCCTCCTCATAGGCGCGCTTAGCTCCCGAAGGCGGCGTGGTTGCTGGCGTAGGCGTAGCCGGCGTGGCTGGCGCTACCTGAGACGGCGCAGTTGCATCCGCTTTCGGGGCATCCGCTGCTGGCGTAGCTGCCGTGACCGTCGGAGGCGGCGTTGGCGGAGTCGTTGCTGTCGCTGGGGTCGAAGTAGCTGCCGTCGGAGGCGCTGCCGTAGCTGTCGTCGGAGGCGCTGCCGTAGCTGCCGTCGGAGTCGTTGCTGTCGCCGGGGCCGAAGTATCTGCTGACGACGGCTTTGCCGACGGGCGCGGGCGAGGGATCATCCTGCCGTCCTCGGCCTTCACTACATCAGAACCTTGCGTCCCGTCATCGCCACCTTCGAGGTCGACGATGATGTGCTTCTGCGGCGCGGGGCTAGTGAGCCTGGGAAGCCACGGCGTGGGCTTGGTGACCTTCTCGTTCGACGCGACGTCGTT